ATGAAATACAACTTTCATGATTCAAAAACATAAGTTTATAATATGCGTTTCATTAATCATTCATATATGCAGCGAAAAAGAATTCCTAAATTTTATAATTAGAGTACATAATTAAAAAAAAATGTCATTCATAAAGAATTATACAATTTCATGACACATGTTTTGATACCACATATAAGTTCTATAGTTTTTTAAGATTATCAATTATAGAGAACTAAAAGGATATTTGAAATTCATAATTCTTACATAACAAAGAAATAATATGTTATTGCGCGTTGTAACACCGTAGTTTTCATACTTTTTATTAAGGGTGATTTAGTAGCCTAGAACATGCCGTTCTCAAACTAGATCGGGCTGTTCCCAAACTGGAATAGGGCGTTCCCAACCACCAAAATGGCCTAAAACCCTAGTTGAGAATAGGGAGTTCCAAACATGGCCATTATGAGTTAAATTCACCCTGGTTTAAGAACGGGTCGTTCTAGATGCGAATTTAACACATGATGAAAGGATCCAGAACGGGTCGTCCCAGATCCAAAACGGACCATTTTGGCCACTTCTGACATCTATAAATAGCAAACTCTGACACTGCTTATGGAGACACTCTCTAAAGACTAAGGAGAACCAAGAGAAGGAGATCAACCAGATTCTGCTCTAACTTCATCTTCTGCTTATCCAGGTAAGGGGAGAGTGAGAAACCTCGCTTGGGGGTGTGGGAATAATTGTTAGGTAGCTAGATTGGCCCCCAATCCCTTGCCTAATGCATGCTTCTAGGAACAAAAAAAATATAAAAGTTTTCTATTTTTCTTTTGAATGTTCTGTTGCGTTCTTTGTGTGATGTTGTGTATAAATATGATCTTTGGATGATTTTGAGGCATTATATGTAAAATTGATGATGGCTTCATGTTTTGGATAATTTCTTGGTATGATTTATGTACTATTTTGATGTATATGACTACGAGAAGTTCCTTGTATGAGACTATGTGAATATGACATGAGAATGTGAAAGGTGAACATATGATCTGTGATATGATATTATGAAATAATGTGACATGAGATATGATGAGACGTGATAAGTGAAGTGTTGAGTCAATGAAATAGTGAATCTGTGACATGCATCATGTGCATATATGACTCTAGGTGTGCCGCTTAGGCCGCATACCAGTGATGTAACAAGCTATTCTAGGTGTACCTTGGGTCATCAGTGATGAAATGATCTATTTCAAGTGTGCTGCTTAGGCCGCATACCAGTGATGTAACAAGCTAACAAGGTGTACCTTGGGTCACCAGTGATAAAATAATCTATTCTAGGTGTGCCGCTTAGGCCACATACCAGTGATGTAACAAGCTAACAAAGTGTACCTTGAGTCACCAATGATGTATTCATGAATGAACGTGCCCTAGGTATGTTGTTGTAGCAGCATACCAATGATGAGAAATGTGAAACTTCCGTATGGCACCACATGCATTTATGAGTCGAGTCCATGACATCATTGCATGATAAATGAATGTACATGTGATACTAAATGTGTATGTATATTGTTTATATGTGATTTGTGCTTATGCCTTGTATTATGTTTGTTGTGTGTGTGTTACCTGACTGTTATTTCTAAACCTGAAATCGAGTGAGATGTTTCTCATTCCTTTGTTGTTCTTGCATGTATTTAAATTGTGTTGCAGCTATCAACATGAAGATGTTGGTGATGAGGCTTAGGCTTCAGTTGGGCGTGCTCTTATAGGATATGTGACATCGAGGTGTAGTTAGGGAATTTAGTTCGTTTCTTTTGTTTTGGAAAAACTTTAACTTTATTTCTTATGTAATTTTCGCAAGTAAATTATGAATATGTTTACGAATGTGAATTCTCTACTCTCATGTAAGTGGAACCATGGTTTTAATTCAAAAAGATTTATTTATTCCAAGAATATGTTTTCATAATTATTGTATATGTATGTTGGAGTAGAGGGTGTTACATGCGTAACTTTCTCCATGGTAGAAATTCCCTTAAACCTTGATGTGTGTTTGGATGAGGAATTTTACAAATTTAAGGAATTTGAAATTCTTGATATTTGAATTACTTTGATTTCAATTTCTATTATTATTAAAATATTTTGTTTGGATAAGTCAATTCAAATTTCTTAAATTTTAAATTCTTAGTTTGGATATGATAATTTGATTTCACCATGGTAAAATTAATTTTAAAAATATATTTATATGTTGAAATTTTTAAATTAAATTTGATAAAAATAAATATTAATCAATTTTTAAATATTTAGTGACTTTAAAAATTAATATTAGATAATATTTAATAATTTTAAAAATATTTTTAAATATTCAATAATTAAAAATACTAAGAGATAAGATATACGATAAAATATATAGGTGAAATAAAAAAAAATATATATGAGAAATTTCAAACTCTTACTTTTTTGGGAGAATTTGAAAGTCTACTATTTTAAGAAATTTCACAAATGCTTGGATTTCAAATTCTTTGTAAATTCTACATCCAAACAAAGTATTTCACTTCAAAGAATTTGAAATTCTTCAAACAAATGAATTACTCCATTTAAATTCTCCATCCAAACACACTTAAAGCACTTTGATGTTTTTGAGAGAAAAGGCAAACCAAGAATCCACTCTTTTTAACTCTTTATTCTATCTTTTTTATCTTCTGTGATGATTAAGATTTGAAAAAATACTTTTTGTTAAGGAGGAGACTTTGTTTCACATTAGTGGATATTTACAATTTCTTAAAATTATTATTCCTATCAAATAATAATTATTCTCAGAAATTGTTCCATTAAATCTATTTATAATTTAGTCCTTAATTATTTAATTATTTGTTCATTAGTCTCTTTATACACTACATGTCACTCACATGAGACATAATAATCTTACATCTAAGAATATATTTCATTTTAACTTTTTAAAATTGTTTTTAGTTTTTTAAAAAGTAAAGGAAATAACACTCACTTTTAATTCACATGTCTCTCCACATGTAGCACCACTCTATATGACCCACACCCTTAAATTATAACTACAAAACAAAACGAAGAGGATTAGAAATAATTTCATAATTATTTTGAGTTAAGTGTTTGATTAAACTTCTCTAAAAATACTTTTAGAAAAAAAAATAGAAAGAAAACATAAAATAATTTTTTTCATAAATTCGTTTAATTTATTGATAAGCCAGTATTAACTCAGAAAAATTTATTTTGATTTTAATTTTAATTTTGATTTTGATTTTTTATTTTTATGAGTATTTTAGAAATATCTGTTAATTTTCAGAACACTTGTTTTCAAGGTGGAAAAATACCATAGTGTCGTCGGAGATGATGGCAAAGACATCAATAGAGAAGTGGGTTGAGGAGAGTGAAGTCAAGTGGAAAGTGTTTTGCAAAATGTTTGAATGATGGACACATATACAAACTTTGAAGTAGGAGTTGTTTTCTTATTCATGTTTTTTTTATTCATGGTTGAGCTAGTTGTGATTATAGAGTATAGGTTTCAGAGAGATAAAATTTTAATGCTTTTGAAAAATAAATTTTGGAAATGATAAAATTTGAGAAATGCATGTTGAAATTTTTTTCATTTTCAAAATTTAATTTTCACAAATGTTAAAATTTCAAAACTTTTATAATTTAATTTTCAAAATGTTTAAAATAAATATGCTTATAAAGACATATACTCTTATCATATGCCGGATCATCCTTTAATGACGAGATATAAATGTTTTTTACAAGTGAAAATACATCATTGTTTAGTTTATGAATGTGTATAGTGTTGTACTATTGATGATTAGTAACTAAGAATATAAATTCTTGAGCGTAAAATTCATAAATTACATTAATTGAAAATTTGAAAAAAAAAATGACTTAAAATGATAATATTAATAAATATTTAAAATTAAAATAATAATTGGTGTAAAAAAAATTAAAATAACAATAAATGATTAAGTATAACAATTAAGATGAAACAACTAAAAATTAGACACTTATTTAAAATTTCTTTAGTTATGCAATTAATATTAAAATGATATAACTTTGAAAAATAATAACGATTTTAGAAAGTTTTTTTTAATAATTTTTTTAACAATTCTTTTAACTTCATATGTAATTTAATATTTATTTATTATAATTATTTATGAATTAAATTTTAATACTTAAAACAAATTTAATTACATAAAAAGATAAAAATATTTAGCAATAAGGAAACAAGCCAAACAACAGGATCGATTGGGGAAGTGAAACAGTCTCTGCCAAGAACTATTATCAGAAACTGAAGCTGGATATCATGTTTTATGAAGAAACTTAATGAGATTGGTTGACGATCCAAGAGAGAAAAACAGATTAAGGAATTTATATATTTATCAAGAAAATTTTCCAGTAATAGTGTTAGCTATGCTTCATGTCATCATGTGTTTGTAGCCACTTCGATGACTATTAGTATCAAGTTTATTGCTTTCTATATGTTGAACCAATCACCATTCTAAATGTTTTGCTTTTATTCGATTAAAAAAGTTGATAAAAAGACATAAAAGAATGTAGTTACTTGCAAATCAGAAACATATGTTTGGTAATATTCATTTCATTATATTTTAGTTTTTCCTTTTTCCATTACCCTAATTAATACCAAAGTTGGATTTCCAGGCACATTTTAATAGTCTAAATTGCATAATTACTTTCTTCCATGAGGAACTTGAAAAATTTAACATTGTTAAATGTGGGGAAAAAAGATATTATATGGCTAAATTCCTTCATGGTATGTTGAAAGCCTTAATTCTATTGGCAATCTTTAGTATGTCGTTAGAATTTTGCCATTACAGCATTGTTATCTTATTCAGATCAGAGTTTTGGATCTTTCAGAAAATCACTTATGAGAGCAAATTGCAAAAATGTTTACAGAATTTTATCATAATAGCTGAGATGAGTGTGAACATGAATGAAATTATACAATATAGCAACATAATTCACTCAAAAATACAAATTTTAATGTTATTGTGGAATTTTGATGAAGCAGAAGTGTATGAACAAGTTTCTAACGCAGCATATGCAAAACTACTGAAAGACTAGTAACAAATGGGGTAGCTTGATTCTTTAAATTGAACGAATTTGGTTTAAAGATCTTAAATGTAAAAGCTAGTTATTTTTGAAGATGTAATATAAAGGATCAAATTTTAGATATCACAATCACATCATAGTAAGTTTCTGCAAATTAAATTTCACAATTTTTTACTTAATTAAATACAACATATCTTAAACTCTAATACTAAATAAATATCTTGCACTTGTAGCAACCAGCAAAGCTTTCATCCCAGATCAGAAGAGTGCAGCACCTCTGCAGTAAACTATTGCATAAATGAATTATTAAACAATATTTAACATTACAAAAAAAAAAAACTGAATTATTTCATTTTTGATGTCGCCTCTTTAAGCTACGTTCATGTTAAAGCAATAAATATTAGAGTTAAGAGATAGCTAATGAGTGCTGCACATATTCTTTTTTTTTTTTTTTTATGTGAAGCAATTATTGATTTATGTAATTGCGGCAGAAGAAAACCAAGAATTTGAAAAAATAGAAGCTATAACATACCAACCTTCGAGATAGCAGCAACACTTTGCGACATTCACCATAAGGTCCTTAACCACACATACATGTAACCAATGAATCTATTCAAGAACATGAGATAAGCATTCCTCCAAGGACGCCAAACAAGTATTGGCCCAAATAAGCCCCAAAATCCAGTGAAGTACCCTACACCCATGCTCATGTATAATGCCTCATAGAAATCTGAATCTTCACCTTTCTCTGCTTCTTCTTCAGGTTTCATTGTTGTTGTCCGATCTCCATCTCCAGGACAAGTTTTGTTAATTTGTTCACCACAAAGATCAACATTTCCTTCAAAACTAGAGGCATCATAGGTTTCAAAATCTCTTCCCGTTGGGATTCTTCCAGAAAGAGAGTTGTGAGACAAGTCTAGTTTGCCTAGACCATCAATTTGAGAAAGAGAAGAAGGAATTCTCCCACTGAAATGATTTCTTGACAAGTCAAGGTAATCTAGTGAACTTAAATTCCCAATCTCTGAAGGTATTTCTCCACTCAAATTGTTTCTTGCTAAGTTCAAAGAAACTAACCCAAGTAAGTGTCCCACCTCTTTTGGTATTTCACCTGTTAAATTATTGCATGACAGATCAATGCTCTTAAGATTCAATTCAGGATTTCTGAACCCCTGTTCCACACCTTTCCACATCCATGTTATCTCAAACGTATAATCATCCAAACTCACACGACCATAAACTTCAAAGTAACTACTATTGATCCAATGTACACGTTGCATAGTGTCACTTCTGTTGATGCTATTTTCAGCCATTGCGGTAAAATTCTTTAAGCATGTTGGAATTCCTCCCGACATGTAATTCCTTGAAAGATCCAACAATTGAATATGTTTCAAATAACAAAGATGAATAGGAAGATTTCCAGAGAAGTGATTTCCTCGCATGTTCAAGATTATCAATAGCTGCATACTTTCTCCTATCCATGGTGGTATTGGACCAGATAACATATTTTCACCCACATCCAGCATAATTAAATTGCTACAATTCTTCAAAGTACTAGGCAATTCACCCGTTAAGTTATTATTTGCTAAAACCAAAGCTTTCAATTTAACAAGGGTGCCCATGGACATAGGAATCTTCCCTGACAATTTATTGTTGCTTAAATCGAGAATCAGTAATGACTCTACTGATTTCCAACAATTTGGGAGTTCTCCCGTTATTAGATTGCTTGATAAATCCAAAGTCATTAAGTTTGAAGTTGTGCTTTGGTAACATAAGAATGAAAAGAAATCTGAAAATTTATTTTTAGAAAGCAGCAGCTCTGAAGCTTGTAACATAAACGATGGAACTTTGCCCCCAATTTGATTTGAATCCAGAAATATTGAAGGTCTATTAAGAAGCTTCAGTGATAAATTTGGAATTTCACCTGTGAGATTGTTATGTGATATATTCAATGTTTCCATGCTTTGCAATTTTCCCCAAAACCATTTTGGTACCGAATCATTAATCGCGTTATCAGAAATATCCAGAAATGTTAAGGAGCGTTGAGTCTGGAGCCAACTTGGAAAACTTGGACCCGACTTGCAAGATCTTAGTCCCAAGTATTTTAATTGGAAAGGGGGAACCCAACTAGGAACAAATTTCAGAGACAATGAGTTCCCTGATAAGTATAAGGTTTCTAATTTGGAAAAATTAGAAAGATGAGATTCATTGACTTCGCCCTCCAAATAATTTCCCTCCAAATTAAGATCCTTCAATTCAGATAGCAATCCGATGCTTTTAGGCAACACGCCAATAATTTGGTTAGAAGATAAATACAAACTTTGAAATATGTGTTGGTTGCACCATGAAGAATTTTCAAAGAAGCTAGAAATTTCGCCATTCAACTTGTTATAAGAGAGGTCTAATATCTGCAATCTGCACATGTTCCGAAAGAAAGACGGAATCTTGCCTTGCAATTTGTTATCATAGAGGTGAAGAGTTTCAAGAGAGTTCATCACTTTCCCAAATCCATCAGGGATGGGACCTTCTAACATGTTATAATAAAGGTAAAGGGAACGAAGATCGGTGGTGGAGTTAAAGAGCCAGTAGAATATAGTTGATGATTTCAACAAATTGGAGGATAGATCAAGGGAGACAAGGGAAGATGAAGAATTCATAACGGAAGTAGATGACATAAGGAAACTTCTATCCATAAGACTACAATTTTGCAAATTAAGATTTTGAAGTTTTGAGCCGAAGTTGAAACCATCTTGAAAGACTGATGATGTCATATTATTATAAGAAAGATAAAGCTCCTGAAGATTAAGGCTAATGTTTAACAACAGTTGAAATGATGAGGATGTCAGCATATTAGAAGAAAGATCAAGGATGGCAAGAGGAGAGGAAAAGTTGGAACCTGAATAAAACAGAGTTTGAAGATCAGTATCTAAAAGAGAACAATCAACCAGCCTCAACTCTCTTAAGTTTGGAAAAAGCTTGTTGATCATTTGTAACAAATGATGAGAGGAGCCAAGATTATGAAAAGAATCCAAGCGAAGAATTTTTAGGGAATAGAGATTAGAGAACCATTCGACATCCTTAGATTTGACATCAAAATTTCCAGCAAGTCCAAGAGTGTGTAAAAAAGGAAGATTCCCAACCTGAAAAGGGAGTGCTCCAGAAAATGAATTTTCTGAAAGATCAAGATACCTCAACTGTGAGATATTTCCAAGTTGATAAGGGATTTCTCCATTGAGATCATTAATGCTTAGATCCAGATACTGTAAATGTGTAAGCTTTCCAAGGTCACATGGAATGCTCCCGCCAAACAGAGAGTATGAGAGATTGAGATATGTTAAGTTGGTGAAGGAGCCAATGAGTTCTTCTGGGATATGACTCCATGGAAAAAAATTATTGCTGAGATCGAGATGTTGAATATTATGCAAGTCAATCAATGAAGTGAGGTTGATTGAACCTTCCAAATATTGTGCATCCGTACAACGAAGATCAAGTAGCAGTATGTGACCAGTTTCATTGTGGCATTGTATGCCTCTCCATTTGCAACAATCATTGTCATATTCACTCCATGTAGACAAGATGCCATAATCATCAAAGAGACTTTGTTTGAAGTTGAGGAGTGCTTGTCTCTCACTCTCTATGCACTTTATTTCTGCACTAAGAATAGATCCTGCAGCATTCGATAAAAGCAGCACAAGTGCATAAAATAGTTTCACAAAACAACTACTCATTATCTTTTTTGCTCATATGAAATAAATGGAATCAGCTTTATCTTTTAATTGTGAGGTATGAAAGATTGAGGCAATACAAGATATATATAGCTGCAGATAGTATAGCTAAATCACAAAGCAATAGGAAGTTTCAAAACATTAGATTAAAATTATACTTTTAATTTTTGTGCTTATTGTTACGAAAATCAATATAAAACTAAAAACAGTAATATACAAGCAAAAGATTGAAAATATAGATACAAGGGAGAGATTGAGAAGTGTCTTCTTTCCTACAATGATATAGCTTTTTTTTAATGTAAAGAAATAAAGACAAGAAAAGAAAATAAATAATCCATTTATAGACATAAATTACCTTTACAAATATTTTAATATTAAAATAAAATAAAATATAATAATTATAATAATAATAATAGATATTCAATATTAAATACTCATAACAGTTAATTAATGTGCTAAAATAAATTTTACTTGTGATTTGATTTATTTTTTTCTTTAAATAAGGCATGGATTTTAAAAAAATATGTAATATCATCTTATCATTCTTCGTAAAACAAAAAATATGATTTATACTCAAATCATTTTTAAATGATTAAATATTTGTGTAACTAAATTATTCCGTATACTGATCATATGTAATGTGACTAAATAGCACATGAACCGCATATTAAAGTACTTCTGTTTCACACTTACTTTTCTAATGACACAGGCTGTTTTACACTAAAGGCTTTTTTGTTACACTTTGTAACAATTTGTACACTAAGAAAAGTCTATGAAGAATTACAACGAAGAAATAAGATGGGTGTGTTGTTTTGGCAAGGCAGGGAGATGAAAGATTAACTTTTCTTTACATGAATTTTCTGCATATACTACACTAATTTCAAGTCTTTGCACTTGTTTTAATTTTTAAATTTGATGTGATTGCTTAATTTCCTTACTATTCAAAGGATAATTAATTAGAAAATTGCGTCTATTTATCCTCTGCTAGGCAAAAATATTTGATGAAACTGATTTCAAATATTATTTTCGTTACAATTAAATTTATTAAAATAAAATAATTCGATCCATTTTACCATTGCACCATTTCGCATTTCTTATTTTGAGATTGTTTTTTCACTTCAATTTTTACTATTCACACACCCTAATCTTCTCTAATATTTTCAATAGTATTTTTTATTAACGAGTGTGGTTTCATTATTCCGAAATTAAGAAATGCGAAGTGAATTTCAGAATTTAAATTTCTATATATAATTATGAAATAACACTTCTTGCATTTAAATTTTGGAATCATATAAAAGTATATTGTATTATTTGTTACTTTTTTGAAAGTCTATTTGATACATCCTCTAAAATTAATTAAACTAAATCACGATGTAGGGTATTTAAATAATAATTATTGAAAACTTTATATATTTGCTTGTGTAAAAATGTATCGATCGTATTGTCAGCTAACACTAAATCGATTCTTAATAAACGATTAACTTGTGATGGGATTATATCTCTTAATTGGATTCCTGGTCTACTTCGAAGATTCTCCTAACAATCGTAACTTAGAAGTTTCAAAGCAAATAAAACATTTAAAATAACAAAAGGTAAACAAAATGCATAAAACAACAAAATTAGGCAAATAGAACAAAAAAGGACTAGACAAAGTAGCAAGGAAAGTTGATAAAAGATAACTTTAAATGACAAGGTTATAATATAAATTTCATTGGTTTTGGTCTTGGAACTTTTTTACAACTTTTATTTCACACTTCACACTACCATTTCATGGAAAATGCCAGAGCGATTGTCAAAGATGGCGGCAAAGACATTGACGAGAGTAGGGTCAACAGGAAAGTGCTTTGCAAAATGTGTGAATGATGGCAACATATACAAACTTTGAAGTTGGACTTTGTTTTTATGATTCATGTTTTTTTTTTTTTTTTTAACTTTAATAAAGTTCAAGTTTCCAGAGAGTGAAATAAATTTGGGTATCATGATGTAAAAAAAATGAGTAGATAATATTTGCAGATTTTTTTTACAAATTTTCTTGCAATAATAATTTTATAAATTTTATTGCAAATTTATTTGAGAAAAATAATTTACAGAAATTTCTTATAAATTTTTTATGAAAAATAATTCACAAATTTTTCTATAATTTTAATGATCATAGAAAAAAAATTTCATGGTGAAAATTTGCAGAAAATGTTGTAACAATTTTATCTTGTTTTTTTTTTTTCTGATTTTCTTGTAAAAAAAAATTTGCAAGTAATGTTTACTACATAGTAAAAAAATTTGCAGATAACTTTTCTTGCAGATTTTCCTGCCAATTTTAATTTGCAAGAACAATAAATATGTATATATATATATATATATATATATATATATATATATATATATATTTATAAGTTTAAGAATTAAAAGATTTTCCTCAAGTCTCACATCATTTAGAAATAAAGCAATTAAAGAGTATATAAGTGGGGCCAACACTCACCTTTTAAGTTGATTTTTTATAGTTGAGTGTTAGACCTATAATTTACAATAAGCTTCGGATGAATTCATTGTAAGTATTGAAAAGTTGAAGAATTATTAATAGAAATTGTACAAAAATTACTTTTGAATAGTAATTTCTTTGATTTTTTTTCTTGCAAAAAATTTCACAAGAAACTTTCCTACGAATTTTTTCGCAGAAAAATTTTCGTGCGAATTTTTTTTGCAAGAAAATTTCTTGCAAATTTTAAAATTCACAAAAACATATTATCCATGAAGGTATTATCTAAAGATAAAATTTTGCGAAAAAATTTGTAAGAACAATATTTCCTATAAATTTTTATAAAAAATTTGTAAAGAAAATCACATATAATAAAAAAAATTCTAATATTGACAGAAATGTGTTATTGACTCGTCATATACCAAAAGTTTATTGCGATGGATGCCAAGACTCATGTTCTACATATCCACCTCTACTCATATATAAGGTTGAGTCTCAATAGATATATTAGGCC